CCCAGCTTCGGCCTCTGGTTTCCAGAGTCGGTGTTAGGGACGTTTCTTGGTTCTCCTGCCGAAGCTCACGGTATTTAACACTAACGTTGACAAAATACTCATACCAGAATCTTGGAAACTCACAGCTTCATGTTTATTCTCACATGAACAGCAGCCCAGCAAGCGTGAACTTGCAGCTTTTAGTGAACAAAAATAACCAAGGACAGTAGTTTATATCCATGGAGGTCATCAGAAAAAAAAGAACATGCGGTAAACAACAACAAAACAAAAAACCTTGCCTGGATCCCGCCATCTCCTCTTTGCCAGAGCAGGATCCCTGCAGGCAGATGGGAACAATGAGGGGACCCCCAGCACCCCCGCCTGCGGGCCACGCTCCCCCCAGACCCACCCCAAAATTCATACACCTTCATCTTGGCACTCACTATTGCACAAGCACCTTTCTAAACCCTCCTCCGGGCCACCAGCAGGAACCCCAGGGAGGAGAACCCTCAGGGTGCGCTGAGGAGCTCTTCTGCTTTGCAGAAACTGAAGTGCAACTCTTTTTCCATGAGGAAGTGCTGGACAATTAACTGCAGCCATGATTAGGGCACTAAATAACGTTGTGACGGACAAGTATGAACAGAATAGTACTGTGTAAAATCCTACAACGAATGTGTGTGCTTGAGATTTGAGAAGTAACATTTTCCACTTTCTTCCTCCCGCAAAACACCCCTCGGAAGTACCGTTCACTGGTAGCAGCACCGAGGAGGCACACGCAGGCTTGGCCCCACACGGCGCTCCATGCCGCACGTCTATCACGAGTGGAGCACACACGCAAAATGAAAATATTCTCATCTTCCTGGGCACCTGCTCACAAAGTCCCAGACTCCCTGAGCCAGGGCCAAGAGGCTCCCTGTCAGGTAAGCTCTATCCCAAACAACGTACTGCGCAAGGCGCTGGCTGGCATCTGGCCAAGAACAAAGCGACAGCAAGAAAAGCCTGGGCACTGTAGCGGCCTCAGCAAAAGAGCCCAAATGCAGGGCAAATGCACACGGAATACCTGCAGACAGACAGCAGCTCATCTGAAGAAAGCGCTCACATGATTATCAGGGCAACTCTACCTTTTCGCCTTTTCTACACATTCTGCTGCTTTTTCAGAGGGCTCCATGAAAGAGCACGAAGCTACAGATTTTAGGCTTGAGGTTAATTTGGTTCTGTCATATAGGAAATTATGTAAACTTGTTGAACAAAGTTTTCTTGGTGAAGAGGAAAAGATTTCCCCACTACACAATTTTTTATCTAGAAAATAACACTAAGAACCAAGAGCGCTGCAGAAAGGAACAGCAGCCCTGCAGCAGAGAAGAGAGAAATTGTTGAAGTGTGCTTCAGCCTCATAACGCAGGGAAGCAGAGGTAGAAATGCTGCTGAGCAGTGCCTTGGGGTGTTCCCTACAAAGTTCTATCACACACTTGCTGGCCATGGAGTGCATGAGCTGGGTAAGGTTTACCTCAGTCTATTGGCAGCAACCTAGAATTAAACAGTGCTTTGCCTCCTCTCCATAGCATAGGTGGGGTTCCCCTTCATGGTTTTCAACTTTCTGAAGAAGCTAGAGCCATCTAAACTGTTTCATAGCCTGGTGACCAGACCTTCCCAGGGGACTGTGGGGAAGATCAGCAGGCAGCCCTGCTCCCGGAGCCATGAGCCTGCCCTGCCTTCATGACACACCAGCATTTGATCATGGCTCATTAAAACAGCGCTGAAAACTTGCCAAAAGGAGCTCAACTCGTCCCTAGCTCCTCTGCAGGCTCCCTAAGGCCGTGAGCGAGTTGGTTCATCCCACTGGGGCTTGGTTCCCAACTGTGGAGCAGAGATAAGCAGCTCAAGCACGCTCTGCCTGTATAGATTCGGGAGGCCTTCGGTTCGAGCACATTTTTTTTTTTTCTCCTGCGGAAAAACTGCAAATTTCCAAGCACATGGCCCTTAGATACCCCACAGCCAAGCTAATGTTTGGCCACGGCTTCTCACCGTCACTGTTGTGAGCAAAACACCCTGAGGCAGCAGCACAGCCAGAACTCCACTTGGCGGGGCTGGATGTGGCAAGTTCCGACCCTGGTGTATGTGATGCTCCAGCTACACCAACACCTCCCTGTGAGACAGGTTGGTGGCAGAAAAAGAGGGAAACTTTTGGAGCAAGCATGAGAGAGAACAAGAACTGTAAGAGGACAACTCTTTACTGCCAGTAGACTTCATGGGAAGCTGAAGAATTCTCAGACACCTTAGAGCTCTGCAATACTATACTGACAGTTTTCCCCACGAGACCATATTTTGTTTTCCAGGATTTTAGGATAAAACGCAAAAGCAGTATTTCAACACCTAAGGGAGGAAACGTGTGGCACTCTAAAATGTGTCAAACGCTCGCTGTGCTGAGGCAAAGATCTCCAACACGCAGCCTGTGGGTCAAATCTCTCCTGCTTCTATTGCCTTTTAAAACCATAGGGAGATTTGAGATTTCCTTGGCTCTACATGATTTCAGTAATTTCTTTCTATAATGGCAGGAATTACCTTTCAAGCTCTAGCAACAGAAGCCAGCACTTCTGCAGTTTTAACTATGCGTTCAGAAAAGGGGAACAGATCCCCAGCCTCCAGAGTTTCTGCAATTTTCACTTCTTTTTGCGTGATCTGAAGATCAGAGGTGCCTCAGTGAAGAATTACCATTTACAACTCTTTTTTGCCTAAATGTTCACTGGGAGGTTCTCTACTTCATTTGCTTGATTAAATGATGGGTAAGAATGGTTGATAAGAATAAAAAAAGGCTAGATGCCACAAAACCTCAGCAGCAGAATAAACGCATCAGATCTCCAAGGTCACTTGCAACACACCTAAACAGGGCAGTGACTCAGAAGGCAAGCATTCCTTCCGAGCACTGGACAGGCCGCACGCGAGAGCAGGACCTGGAAACTGGGAGCTCAGGCAGTGCTTCACTCACCCGCCTGTCAAATGAGTCACTTTAATTTCAACAATATTTAAATCACAGCCTGCATCTCCAAGGCAGCCAGCAGCAGACAACACACTACAAGCACAGCACAATTATTTCCCTGGCAGTCTCAGAGGCATTACAAAAGACGCACACGTCCCCACTCACACTGAGCTGGTGGAGCTCTGCACCTGAGTTTTGATTAGAAAATAATCCATATGGAAACCTCCAACAAGGACCCTACAGACCACAGCAAGAGGCTTGAGCTGACCTTACTACCCCTGTTGAAGCGTGCTTCCCAGAACACTGCTCTGTCCCTTCCGAAGTCCTCTTGGCAGCTGGCAAGAATCAAGAGGCAGTCCTGGCGAGAGGCAATGCTTATGTTACAGGGACAAATGTTGCAGTGCCTGGGGAGGCATAGGATTGGGAGTGAGGACTCATGTTTGCCAAATAGCTTTCCAAACATACCCTCTCTGGCTGTCATCGTGATTACTGCTTAGGACAGCCTTGTGTTTAACAGGTGTGGCTGCTGCATCTACAGGCATCTTTGAATAAATCTGGGGCTTGTGAAAAGCAAAGAGCAAATGCTCCATTTTCTGTCTCGATTGAGGGAATTCAGTCTATCTAGCTGACTGGTCTTGGAGAGGCCTTGCAGGACACTACATTCACAAGAGACTCTGGTCCTGATGGAGAGCACATGAAACATCTTGCACTGAAGGTAAGAAAGAGAAGGCAAAACAAAGCAGAACAACAAGCTGGTTTGCTGCTCCAGGAAAAGTGCCTGGTGACCACCTCCACCCTAGCGTTGCTGCCTTGACCCCACGGGGAGCCATGCAACCTTGTGAATGTAGTTTGGAGCAGGCAGCCAGTGTTTCCAAGACCTGCTGGCTTGTCATGCTACCAACTCCCGGTGACCGTGCCAGCCAGGCTCTGGCTCACTGCACTTGATCCAGAGCAGGAAAGTCCCTGAGCTCTCACTAACAGCCAGTTTTGCTGTCCAGCCACAGTATTCCTTCCAAATAACCTTGCTAAGACTTTACTAAGACCTTCTTTCATTATCTCCGTCCCTATTTGCCATTGCCTGGTAAGAACGGGTCATGGGTGGGAAGGCAGCAGGCCTGGCAGAACACGGGCAGCTACCAGAAGCTCTTTGCAGTCTAGCCAATTCAGACACGCAGACTTGAGTGCAGGGACTGCATAGGACATAGTGACCCATTCCAGGAAGACCAGAACTCAAGATCCCACACCACTCCTATGTCTCCCAGCCAATGGCCTGAAAAAGCATTGGCAGTTAACCTTAAGATGGTGCTGCCAAGAGAGCAGAACTGCATCCAGCTGCAGTCAGCTGGATGCAAAAGCAGTGCTGTCTGCAGGTATTAGTACATTAACAGAAGATATTAAGAGACTTAAGGCACCTAAATTTCCTCCATTTCTTTAAGCACCATTTTTCAAACATACCTTGATTCACACTCACATCTTGAAATGAACCGCAACAAGGCATTAAATAAGACATAGAGAAAGAAGAATCTTCCGGGCTCTCGGGTTCCCCCTTCTTGCTTCTTCCATCACACACATCCCCATTAACTACTTGAGCTGCAGGCAGCTCACGCCCTCTGCAGCTCAACTTGAATAGACCTGACAGTACCGCTTGTCACAAGTCAGTTAAGACACCACAAAAGAAGTGAAAAGGCACACAGGCAGTCAGACCGCACTGCCCGAGTGTCGTGTGGGGACCCAACAAATGTTGACAAGAGATATAAAAATAAATAAATTTCAAGAAAGCTAATACCTACAAACTGGTTCCAGTTTCCTCCTCCTTGGAAACTTCTAATAAGAGGTAAAGAAAGTAAAGCCCCACAGGTGCTCTCTCCCAATGGGGAAACTTGAGCACAGAGAATGAGATGCAGTAGCAATGCCTCTAAAATCCCTGCTATTGACTGCATCGGTACTGGCAAGCATCACACAATTTTTCAGGACTCCTCTCCCATACGAAAGAAAGCTTCTACCAGATCATCAAATCTCTGTGCGGAATACTGCTTTAGGACATTTAAGGGAGTGAGCAAATACTCCCCTGCAAGCCCAGTTGGAAAGTAATCATCAGAAACAGGTGCGGGGTTACCAGCGCTAGCTGCTGCTCCCGGCTGTTTTTCACTCTGCTCTTCCTTAACCTTGCCCTCCTTTTCCTTCTCCTTGCCTCCGCGACAAGTGCAATTTTCTTTTGAGCAGGAAGGTGACTTGCAGTCATTCTGCTGATGAACCTCAACACCTGTGAGCTCTTCAGACTTCTGAGTACATTTCTCTGGGGACTCATAAATGACTCCTCGGGGCACAGGACGCTGGGCAGATCTTCTCAAGAAATATGGGGGTTCCCGCTCCTTCTTTTTGTTTTGCTGCTGTACAGGCTTTGGCATTTCCAGGTCAGGAAGCACCTGGGGAGCAGAACTCAGGTATTTCTGAAAGTAAACCTGGCTCGCATCACCCTTCAAAATTGGAATGACCGAGCAAGGTTTCAGCCACTGCACAAACTCGCACAGCTCCGAGAAGGATGAGTGATCGGAGTATGGAACGAGGTGGATCTTGGGGTGGGTGACCTTCACGGGCCTGCCAGTAGGGATGATGGCGATGGTAGGCTGCAGCAGGTTCCAGCTCGTAAGGGTGTCGGCGCGGATGTTGGCGACATCCTCAGCCCGGATCCAGCCAACCCCCTCCTCGGTGGTGAACACGTCG